AAAACGATAATTTAAGCCTCTCTGTACGATATTGTGGGATTTTGGATCTAGCAACACTGGCATTGAGGCATCTGGGAAGGGATCTCAAAACTGGATTATAGATGGCAGACAGTTGGTGTCGTAAACCACCGCCTCTGTTCAAAGATGGTTGCTCACAGTGGACATAAATGGCTTCCTTTACTCCTCTTTCAAACCATCTGTCCTCTCTGTCCAAAATGTGAACGTTGGCATCCTCGAAAGAGTGACCTTTTGTCATGTTCTGCGGGTGGAGGTGGCAGACCATGTGTGGTGGTGGTTTCAGGAGGCAGATGAGCAGGCAGACGGATGTAAAAAATAAAAAGATGTTTATTGTAGGACGGGAGCAACAGGACGAACGAACATGCACAAGCGACAGTGAACCGACAAAGACAACAACCAGGAGGGAGGTATAAATACACAAGGGAATCAGGAACACATGGGCAGAGTAATCAGGGACAGGTGAGAACAATTAGGCAAATCAGGGCAGGAGAGACACAGTCAGGGAGGCTGGGGCGGATCATGACAGTACCCCCCCCCCCCCCCCTCAAGGGGCGGATACCAGGCGCCCACAAGCCAAAAAACACAGGAGACACGGGCACGAACGAAGACCAGACCAGGACACACATGACAAGGGAACACAGAAGACGAGACCAGGGGACAAGGAACACCATCCAGGGCTGCGAAGCAGGGGCCTCTCGGTTCAGGCGGCACTCCGTCTTACGACCAACAGACGTGTCCAAGAACTTAGACCAGGGAAACTCTGACTCGAAGACTAGGGACTCAAGGACTGGGCACAGGGACTTGACACGAAGGCTTGGACTTGGGCACAGGGACTTGACATGATGACTTGGACTTGACACGATGACTTGAGTAGACTTGACTTGACACGTAGACTTGAGTAGACTTAACTTGACACGTAGACTTGAGTAGACTTGACACGTAGACTTGAGTAGACTTGACACGTAGACTTGAGTAGACTTGACACGTAGACTTGAGTAGACTTGACTTGACACGTAGACTTGAGTAGACTTGACTTGACACGTAGAATTGAGTAGACTTGACTTGACACGTAGACTTGAGTAGACTTGACACGTAGACTTGAGTAGACTTGACTTGACACGAACACTTGACTCCAGGAATACAGGACACCAGGAACACAGAGACGAACTGCAGCAGCAGGCGTGGGACCCAGCAGGAACTGCAGCAGCAGGCATAGGCCCCAGCAGGAACTGCTGCGTGGAGAACCTGCAGGCACAGAACCTGCAGGCGTGGACCAGGAAGTGGTAGAGCAGCGGGAGCAACGCGTGGAAGCCCAGCTCGGCGGCAGGTACTCGACATCCCAATCAGAGCAGGTGCACATCCCGATCTGCTGGGTCCATCGGCGGAGGCTCGGGTGAAGGGAAGCCGGAGAAGAGCGGGGAGACCAGCCCTACCACACCGGAGAACAATGGCGTGCGTAGGGGGTGTAGCTCCCTTGAGGCTCCAGGATCCACCAGAGAAGAGCGGGGAGACCAGCCCTACCACACCGGAGAATAATGGCGTGCGTAGGGGGTGTAATTCCCTTGAGGCTCCAGGACCCGCGGCTTCAGGAGAAGAACGGGACGGGGCAAAAACAGCAGGTGGCAAATGACCCTGACCACCCCGAAGACAAAGTGGGATGCGCCAGGATCTCCCAGAGGACTTCGACCACCCCGAGAACAGGTAGGATGCGCCGAACACAAAAACTCCAGGCCAGAATCACCCTCTGCTGAAAGGGAGAAAAATAAAAAATAATCCTCCAGAAGCAAGTGTGTTAGCTCACCACAGGTCCAGGTTTGGTCGGTTCATTCTGTCATGTTCTGCGGGTGGAGGTGGCAGACCATGTGTGGTGGTGGTTTCAGGAGGCAGATGAGCAGGCAGACGGATGTAAAAAGTAAAAAGATGTTTATTGTAGGACGGGAGCAACAGGACGAACGAACATGCACAAGCGACAATGAACCGACAAAGACAACAACCAGGAGGGAGGTATAAATACACAAGGGAATCAGGAACACATGGGCAGAGTAATCAGGGACAGGTGAGAACAATTAGGCAAATCAGGGCAGGAGAGACACAGTCAGGGAGGCTGGGGCGGATCATGACACCTTTGTCCTTTAGATGCAAATGAACTGCTGAGTCCTGTCCCATGGAGGTGGCTCTTCTATGTTGTGCCATGCGCTTGTGAAGTGGCTGTTTGGTTTCTCCGATGTAGAGGTCTGGGCATTCCTATCTGCACTGTACAGCATACACCACATTGTTCAGTTTGTGTTTAGGAGTTTTGTTTTTCGGGTGAACCAGTTTCTGTCTGAGTGTGTTGTTGGGCCTGAAGTACACTGGTATGTTGTGTTTGGAGAAAACCCTCCTGAGTTTCTCTGATACACCGGCAACATAGGGGATGACGGCTCCGGTGGAAAGAAGGGGTAAGCAAGCGATCCTGCTGCAATGTAACTTTTGACAGCTCACCTGACATGTAGATCAGAGATCTTTTGATGTCCTCCAGGTCGTCTGCAGCCATGTCTTTGCGCCGTCCAGCCGATCGTCCTCCTGGCATTTTTCCTACTCAGATTTCTCCTCTTTTGCCGTGCTCTGCTCCTGCGGCCCCAGCGTAACAGGCCGAGCTCTATGTCGCCAAGTCGGGCTTGATGGCAGGGCTCATCGCTGTCAGCCGCCCCGGAGGAACCACGCCGGGTCTAGTGCCATCGGCCCCGCCAGAGAGCCACGCCGGGCCTGGTGGTGCCGTGGTGTCGTCCACGCCGGGTCTGGTGATGTCGGCCGCCAGAGAGCCCCGCCGGTCTGGTGATGTCGACCGCCGGGCCTGGTGATGTCGGACGCCGGGCCTGGTGATGTCGGACGTCGGGCCTGGTGATGTCGGACGCTGGCTCTGGTTCTGCTTCCGCTGATTTGATTCTGCTGAGTTGATCTTCACAGCTCGCTGGTTGATGCGCTTGCTGGTGTCCATTTTATCATGGTGATAGTTTGGTTTGAACTAACTGTCTGAACGCCAATGTTCTGATGTTCTTCGATGTATTTAATTAGAGAATATTACATTCACATACACCCACCACAGCGGTAAAAAACCATAAGCTCTTCCGGGTTAGCACCTCTAACCCTGACAGTCTAATCTTGGGAATTTGGCTGTCATTGTTACCATGCAAATAGAACTTTTCTCTCATATCACATGTGACCCTTAACAAGCTTTAAACTGTTAATGAAGAGTCACAGAAGATATTGCAAAAGGTGCTAGTCCAGATTCTTAGATCTTTGGAGAAGCGCAACTGCCTGGCTGCAGTGATGGTTACAGCCTCTGGTTTAAACAGAGTACATGCCAAAGTCAAGATGAGGATCCTTGTGACTTAATAGTTCTGTCCTCACCTGAACCTGAAAGTTGCCCTAGTCCATGGAGTTGCAAAGATGAGGGGATGTCATATATTCCTCTCACACCTCAGTGGCCTGTCGAAATCTTCCCTGCAGATCCCCAAAGCCAAAGCATCTAGCTGATAACATATGTCAGAGATGGCACCCACGCTCAGCACCAACAGAACAGTACTTTACTTACATATTTCCACACAGTGCTGAGGACACAGAGACTAGAGAATGGTTTAATTTTGTCTTGTTATTAAAAAGAGTCATTAAACTAATGTGCCACATGCTCTAGTCACGACATAGCAAAATTCATTCAGGAAAGATTTCTTTGCACAATAAAGGTTTTCCCAAATAAATGGAGCCTAATGTAAAATAAACTATGATGCCACAGCAACATTAAAGCAACATAGACTTTATCCAACAAAGTGTCCAATTATCAAGATCACAGCTATTGGTATGGGGAAGCGTCATAGAGCAGACAACTTTCATAGAGAAAGTGATCTATCTAACTAATACTTTGATTACTAGGCACATTAGGATGGATGAAGTAAATCAAACACACTGTTAATATCATTTAGCTCAGTTTAAGTGATCTTGCAGTCTTTGTCATCCAAAATGATTTGACCTGACAGGGATCATGGTTAGGGTTATGGATGTTCCTGAGGCACCTATCTTTCTTCTATCTATGTTCTCAACTTCCCCCATTAGTCAGTAAACTGAGTGCAAATGGAAATGGAATAATTCTAGTTTTTAACAGGGCAGTTTAGTCTAAATGCTGAGCTTACAGTAATTCTTGCTAACAGGGCATTATTTAACAGAATCAAGCACATTTATGTATCAGACTGTTCAATTCAGGCTTTGCCTCTTCATTTCAATAAGTTCAGTTGAGGGTGAAACTCTCCGTTATTGTTTCTCAGGTTGTTAGGAAGCCTCAAGGGTGAATAAACATCATAAGCATCATTTACACTAATTAGGCATAAAGTAGCTATTTTGGCCAAAAGTTTTAAAATTGAGTGGGTTGAATTTTCTAGGGATAAATCTTTATTTTTCTACCCCGGGCAGTAAAACAAACATCAATATTGCATTTTAATAGAATGAAACGAGGGCATGTATAATTGGTAAGTCTTATGATGTTTTTTCTTTGATTGTGGAGGATGTTCATGTTGCTGTGTGTCAAACTGGGTTTGTAACTTTTGTTCATATCTAGTATAACACTTTCTGTTTTACATACTGCAGATGGTTGCCATCACATTCATCTCCCAACAGGTCAAACTATTCATTCAGACACAATATGAAAACCTTTTCAGTAGGTTGAAGAAACAAGTTACTGACAAATAAAATGCTTTCATTAATAAATCCTTAACTAGCCAACAAAAGACACAATTTTAATCACTAAAATATATGATTGCCACAAGAAAAGTGAAACTTATTAAAATCATCCTCCTTTGCTTCCCAATGGAAAAAAAAACACAGTGTAGGTGGCTGTAAAAATTATAGTGGCTACCTCAAACTGCAGCTTAGCTGATAGGAATTGATGGAAAAGTAAGGCATTCAGAAACCTTAATCTAGTTTGTAAAAACGGTAAATTGAATTAGACATACCTCTTCTGCTTTACTCTGCTCAAAGGCAAATTCCAGGGTAGGCACAGCCAGCAGATTGGCAAAGAAGCTCCCATCTCCAGGCAACTGCAAAGAGCTGACATTGGGCCCGGGGCAGTTTCCTCCTCGAATGCAACTCAGTAACTGCCTCTAATAAAGATGGGGGGGGGGGGGGGGGGGGGGAATAAGAGAAACATTAAAGCTGCAAGCAGCGTCGTTTGGCCCTCGCAGCTCCGCCCCACTCCGGCCTGGCCGGCAGCCCAGTTACGTGTGCTTTCTAGAGCCAGAGAGCTGAAAGGGGGTGGAGCTAAAGGGATTTGAACCCACAACCACAAAAATGTGTTTGGTGCAGTCACGTGATGTCACAAGCCAAGTATAATGCCATTCTGACCGTGTCTTTAGAAGTTAATAAAGTTTGAACCAATATGGGGGTGTTGTGACCATTTACAACTAAATCCCATACAGGTCATCTTTGCTTATCAAAGATGGTTTTCTGTTAATTTGGCATCAATCAAATCTTGCATGGGTCATCTAGAGCCAAAAGGCTGTAAGTAGGCGGAGTTAAAGTGATTTGAACGAGTGATCACATTCATGTGTTGATTGCAGTTGTGTGATGACTCCCACCATGTTTGATATAGTTTGGAATTTTGTTTGTAGACGTTACAAAGGTTTTATTGTATCTAGGGGGCGCTGTCCCAAATTTAGGAAAATATCCCATGGAGAAGTTTGTAGGTTGAAAACAAACAATCAAACAAACAATTTGCGTGCAGTTTGGTGTGAATTGCATTATGCATGTGTTATTCATGGCCTGATATCTGTCAAAGGGCGGAGCTAAAACGATGTCAACCAATGACCACAGGATTGTGTTAGGTGCCTTTGTGTGATGACACATAGCAAGTTTGGTGCAGTTGTGACCTCGACTAGGGATGAGCCGGGTACTTGTTTCAGACGAGTATCCGGTACGGATAAATAGGGCTGTAGCGAAGCCTCGACGAAGTCGACGGCTCGATTCTAAAAATTTGTCGACGTCAGATCCGGAAGTCGACGCACCGCGCCCACTTGTTGCATCCCCAGGAGTTTGTAAATAAGGAGGAATCTGCCTGTTTTTCCTCTAGCTCGTCCTCTTCTCCGCCTTCACTAACATCTCCGCCAAATACCGAAGACCCGGAACAACGTCCGTCCACTACTAGATTATTTTCCTGTTTTGCCCGCCTCCGTCTCCCGGCAACGGACAACAACTTCCGGGGTCAGATGCGCTGCTTCGTGTCTACCGCAGATGTAGAAAATCACCGGGAGCGTTTCTCCCTTCATAAAGGAGCTTCTTTCAGACACGAGGAGAGCTGTTTTGGTGGTAGCAGTCTCTCCTCCGTGCTGGTCTGTTTGCTGCTGGGTGTTTTTGGTTTATTTAAACTTGGTAACTTGAACTTAACGTTGGTAAAGCTACTGTTAGCATCTTCGCTAACAGCTTCTTGCGTTGGGATAAGCTGTTACGTTTTGGTTTAGAGTTAATCTTTTTTGTGGTGTAGATCTCCCTTTTATTACATTTAGAGTGTTGTGGGTTTTCGGTTTAGTGTAAAATATCACCTGAGTTTGGTTTAACCCGTAACACCACTCGCCTCACGCACATAAGTGACCAAAACAAAGCAGCATGGAGACACTCCATCTTCTACCACCTCTCAGGCAGCAGCCTGCACTCCCAAGTTCTACACGTCACCAGAACATAACCAACCAACACAATAAACGCAGTGTTATACAAAATGGAAGGCCTGTAGTGTTTATTCTCTTACAGTAAGAATTTATCAATTTTTTTGAGGAATTTATTTGAGATTTTCTGGTTTTTGTTAATTGTGCAATAGAAAAATAATCATTAGATTAATTTTCTAAATAGTCATTAGAATAGTCGACTATTCGATAAAATAATCGTCAGAATAATCGTTTTAAAAATAATCGTTTACCCCAGCCCTACGGATAAAGCATTTTTGACAAATACCAGCATGAAACAAGTAAAACTCATAAATATCTGTAATCGTGCTGAAGGAGAATCCTCATTGGGTAACTGACTGTTTTCACGCTCTGCGATTGGCCAGTCACATAGAGCGCCCGCCTCTCCCTATATACAAAACTCTGCAGCTGGCCGGGAGCGCAGTCCGTCTGGCTCATCCACGCACACACACAGACAGTAACGGATCTCGCTGTGATTGCTTCATTGTTGCTCACGTTTCTTCAGTTTTCCCTAAGTTTTCTTCAGCTCGCCTCTTTTTCGGTTGAATATTTAAAGTTACTTTTTTCGTAACTTACATGGCGCATTTGACAAGACAGAGCTGACGTGCTGCGTCAGTCACTACCTCCGCTCCGGTCGGGTTTTTTTTTTTACTCCCTCTCTCTCCCTCTATCTCTCACACACACCTTAATCAACATTGTTTTGTTTAACTTTGTGGGGTAAAATATCAAGAATGTTAAGAAAAAAATCTGTTTAATCAAATTAAAATTAAAATATATATTGTGTCTGGTTCTAGCATTTCATATTTCATAGTTCCTACTGCATGAGTTCAGATGTATTAATCCATGCACTTAAATTTAATGTTCTTATTTTATTGAAATACTTGTTCTGTAATAGTTCCTTTACTATTGTGATCAAAAATATTTAATCTCAATTCTGAGCCTGCTCTGTAAATAGTTTTCAAATAAACAATACACATATCAACTTCTGATCAATCCATATCAATTTCAGACTTAAAATAATATATTGTTTTAAACCACGCCCACTTCTGGGTTATGCCACGCCCAGGCTGTTTGTGGAAGTTACAGTCAAACGTAAGGTCACGGTGTCACGCCAGAATTCGCTATGGCATCAATGCCCCTCCCTTTCTGGAAAGCTATCAGAACTGAATGGTCATTACAGCATCAGGAAGACAGTGCATGACCTTAGTGTCGTTGGCTAAATTAGAGGGGACAAATATGGACATTTCAACATAAACAATAGACTTCCTGTTGTCAGGGGGCGGGGCTTAGGTGATGTAAGCAGTACACATTGTTATTGTCTTGAGATGTGGTGAGTGATCACACAGACAAAGTTTGATATAGATCTGATCATGCTCATGGGAGTTATTACATCATGTAATGTAATGGCGAAAGGTCAATGTTTGAGGCTTAACCATGCCCACACCTTTCAACTTTAGAAAAATCTGACAGTTGAATTTTTGTCTTATTTTTTAAGAGCATATAGCAGAAGTTTGAAGACGATCGTTGAAAAGGGCGACAGGGCATCACTCTCCAAACGACATCTGCGAAAACCACTAAATCGAGTACTTTGACCAAAATGGCCGACTTCCTGTGTGACATTGACCAAGAAACTTTTTTGTATGTCCTGAGACACTACATTGGTGTACCAATTTTTGTAATCCTCTGTCAAAGCATGGCTTGGGGCTGACAGTTTTAATGGTCCTAGGGGGCGCTATTTCAGAAAATAGACCATGCCCACCAACTTCTCCTGTCCATTTCAATTAGGGGTTAGACTAGGATCACTCACCAGAAATTTTGTGGCGATATCACGATATCTGAGGCAATGAGAGGCAAACAAATTTGCGTGATGGCGAATTTTGCCATGCTCCCAAAGCCCTGCCTTTTTTTGAAACCTGCCAGTACTAGAGACCAAGTGACCTCAACTTGTCTACTGCAATTTGCCAGCGATTGCTGGTGATTGGGTGAAAGGAGTCCAGTAGGGAGCTGTGAAAAAAAGAGTGGCGTGGTGACAGGTCAAAGTTTGAGGCTTAGCCACGCCCACACCTTTCAACTTTTGAAAAATCTGACGGTTGAATTTTTTCCTCTATGTCTTAAGAGTTTATGGCAGAAGTTTGAAGGCAATCGGTGAAAAGGGCGACGGGGCATCATTCTCGAAACAATGTGTACGAAAACCACTAAATCGAGTACTTGGACCAAAATGGCCGACCTCCTGTGTGACATTGCGCTGGCTCCAGGAGACTTTTTTTTACATCCTAAGACTCTACATTCGTGTACCAAATTGCGTAATCCTCAGTCAAAGCATGGCTTGGGGCTGACAGTTTTAATGGTCCTAAGGGGCGCTATTTTACCCACCCGATTTTGACATCAGATTTTTTGTGGGGGCCAGACTAGTAATGATCACCAGAAGTTTCATGGTGATATCTTTAAGAATGATGAAATGTGAGGCAAACATATGGCCATGGCGGTATGCCTGACTTTGCCGTGTCGCCACAACCCTGCCCTCTGTTGAAAACTTCCATAAAGTGACGGCAAGCAACCCACAATTGTCTTGAGTTACCAGCTACAAATTTGTGGTGATTAAGTGAAATGGGGCAATTTGGGACCTATCATAGTAAAACTTGACCTTTTTGGTCCTGAGGGGGCGGGGCTTATGTGATATCATCATCCGACCATTCAGTTTAGTTTGTGGGAGGATGACGAATGACCAGATACATTTGTATAACTCTACTCTATTCGGGTATGAAGTTATAGCCATTTATATTTTTTGGCGAGTAGTCGAACCTCTAGGCCAGGCCACGCCCCCTCAGCATATACGAAAAGTCGATTTTATTTTTTCTATTTGATCGCCCATCCCTTCTGAGCAATTTCCCACAACATTTGAGACAATCGTGCGAAAAATGATCAAGTAAATCAATCAGAAGCAGACCCTAGAAACCGTCAAAACGGGGTCAAAATCACCACTTCAAACCAAAATGGCCAACTTCCTGTTTGATGTTGACCATGGTTGCAATAGGGTTTTCTGTGTGGACTGGTGAGTACTACAAGTGTACAAAATTACATAACTGTACGACAAACTAAGGTTTATGGGGGGGGGGGGGGGGGGGGGGAGGTATTTTTCACATTCTAGGGGGCACTGTGGAGCTAGTTTTATTGCGATTTTTTGGGACCTTTAAATTACAAAAATTTACGCCACGCCTGACATGTCTGCAAAAATTTTTGAGTTTTTGGGTATGTTAAGGCCTCCAAAAAGCCAATTGACTTGGCGGAAGAAAAATAAACATTAGAAAAACAATAGGCCTTCGCAAGGACTGCAAAGGCCTAATAACTGTGAGAGAAAATCATTGGTTTAACAGGAGGAAAGATAGTACCTTAGAAAGGAAACTCAACAAAAAGCACATGCTTTACAG